TAATAAATGCTTTGAATTTTGTATGCAATACAAAATTTTAATATTTTGAAGCTATACCACGTGTGTTATTGATGCTGAACAAATCTGGGACCATTTTCAATATTCTATTGATTGATCAGTTTGTTTAATAATAGGCTAGCATAATCTCTGCTATTCAATTTGAAAAAAAATGATCAACGCTTTATAATGTATCTGATGTTTCACATAACTCATATATGATCGTATTTTTTACTTTAGTGGCCAATTACGGAATTAATTTTAAATTCAAACATAAGTTATAACTTGATAACTTGCACGCCAATTTCATTCTACAAGTTGTTAATCACTTCATGCAGTAATACTATGCGTAAACTGCTTTAAGCTAGAGTAAGTGTCTTTGAGGCTGTACGCTTGTAGAAAGTCATGCAAAATGAGATAATTTAATTTACGTTGCGTATGGAACTGCATAATTTTTTATTTATTTATAAGCTTATCATTCAAAACGATTGCTAATATCGTTAGAATTTCAGCAGTTTGTTGAGTACTTTTTAATGATTACTTTAAATTGTACTTGAGATAGGAGCAAAGGTTAAGTAAGGATTAAGTGCTAATGTAACAGCAATAGAGTGAATACAATTGGTAACGAAATTGAAAAATTTGACAAACTATTCGTTCCAAAGATATTTGTTTTATTGCACGTTATACAAAATGCATGTGTAGAAATAATTAGATACAATTAGTAATAATGACGCATGATAAAGCTCAAAATTTGACTATTTATTCATAACCTAAAATTATGAAAATTTGATGCAATTTTGAAAAACTGTACTAACGTAAAGAATTAAAATCAGTTACTTGGATTTAATTAATTCACCCTTTTTATTTTGTTTTTAGCTTTATTTTTGCAATTTTTGTTAGTACAACTATAATTATGATTATCTACCAATATTGTTACAGCTGTCAATAACACTAATTGCATCAATTATTCTCTTTTAGGAATATGCTAGGATTTCATTCATTTATTTGCATGATCAGAATTTCCGTCCAAACTGTGCAGAAATTTCTATTAATCATCAATAACCAATTTCCACTCAATTTTTTGGCGCTGCTTATGCATTGTCCATTTTGGTCAAATTTTTTCAGCAAAATAACTATAACAATGAATCATAATTGATAGTTATTATTATTATTATTATTATTATCACTGTACTTTTGAGAAGAAAAACAAGCAAAAACAACTGCTACTAAATATTTTTTAAATCATTGAGATTTGATCGCATATTGATCGTATACTTTTTCATTCAAAAAAGTTAACAAAATAAAATTAAATTTGTATGAATACAAAAGTGTGTAATTTAATGCTTTTGATGGAATTACATTAAAGGCGTACTTAAAAAATGATTTCAATTTTGTTTTAAGTTATTAAGATTGAATGAAACAGCAGATTAGATAAGCGCTTTTAGTGTTTGATACAAGAATTTAAACAAAATTTAAAAATGCATCTTAAACATAATTTTTAAAGATTGCTTTGAAGCAAAAATATAAAACGAAAATTGATAAAATTTTAACATTATTTTGTAATTTTTTTCTCACAATTATCGTTGTAAAGGTTGTGTACAAACTGTTCATTCAAAACTTTTTAAAAATTTAGTGCCACAACGTTGCGACAACTTTTAAACAACAATGCAATATTTTGTGTTCATTGTTTTTACACTATCAAAACCAAACTTTAATTATAATCTAATTATAATCTGTAAAATAAAAGATTAAGAATTTGATATATATATATATAATCTGTAAAATAAAAGGTTAAGAATTTGATATTTTTGTTTGTAATGTTATATGTGACGTAAATAACGTTATATGCGAATTCATTTGAATATCCTTTTATTTCTGAAGAAAGCATTTTTCCATTATGTCTGAATCCTAATTTGTGCTTTTTTTGTGTTTGATTTCTTTTGTCTGAAAGTATCAGTTTTGTTTGTTGTATAGAAATTTTTAACAAATTGAGACAAAGCTTATAAGTGCTGTTTTGAATTTATGTTTAAAAATTTTTTAAAATTTTTCTTCAAAATTTACAATTTTTTTTCTTTTTAATTTTTTTGCGTTAGATTTGTTATTCGATATGAAAAAAGCACACTGAATGCTAGAATAATTTTTAGATTTATTTGTCAAAGATAAAAGCACAAGCACTTAAAAAAATGGCTTAATACAAATGATAAAAATATTAAGGAAAGTAAGTCAATGCCATTAGTAAATTTGCATAAAAAATAAGTTTGCTGTGCTTATTCATTGATTAATTAATTCATTTTTTGAATGTTTGGCTAAATAAAATGACTTGATTCATAATTATTAATTTCATGTGAAAATATTAAAAGTGATTTGTAAAGCTATCAAAATTAATTTCATTTCTGTTTCATTACAAAGAGTTTTGATTTAATTTTTTTAATATTTTAAATGCTATTTTGAGCAACAAATCATTTCCTTTTCTGTAATTTATATTTCTTAGTTGTAAAATTGTCAGTGTTGCCTTAAATTTTGTCTCTAGCTAAGATTATTATGGCATGGCATTGAGAGAAATTATAGAACATAGATTTATGTTTTGCAATAATTTAATTAGTGTAGTTAAACAGAACAAGATAATGACTATTTATGACCGTTATTTATACTGAAAACAAGTTCATTTTTTAGTGAATATATCAAAATTTTTGTCTTTATTATTTTAGCTTTATACAGTGAATAATTTTGTATAGTAAAACTTTCATTAATCTTTATTGCATAACAAATTATGTTATAAAATTATAAAATTTTGAGTTTGAAAATAAATTAGTGTGTGATTAATTCAAAAAATACTTTATTCATCCATTTAATGCTTGATTTTGTGTATCTTTTTAATGCAATTAAAATATCGCATTCATAATTGAAATTATTTAATAAAAGGACTGAATAAAGCACATTAGTTTGGATGGAAAATGCACGGAAACATTTTAGCTGCGTGCCAAATCACTGCTAATACATACAATGAGTAAAAAAAGTTATGTTTTAAAGTTAGTTACAAGTATTGAAATCATTTGCAATATTGATTGAAAATACTAAACAAATAAAAATGTCATTAAAAAATAAAAAATGCAATTTAAAGGAAAAGCGAATAAAAATGCAATAAAAATTTCACAGAGTTAAGAAGTTAAGAAGAATGCTGAGAAGGAGCAGCAACTTCAGCGTTTACAAGTATTTCTCAAATTTATTCACTTATAGTAATAACTTCGGATAATGACTGACAGATAAATAGATATTAAATGATTTGCATTTTATTCCTTCTTCACAGCTTCGGTAAATTTTTCTCTGTCTGAAAAGTTTTGTACACAAAAACGAACTCTTTGCTGTATGTAAATCAAAAATTGAATTCAATCTTATCAGTTTGATATTAAATCGCTTATGGCAAAAATTAAATAATTATATATGAAAGTACTGAAGTAAACTTTTTTAATATATATGAAATTAGTAAGAATATAAGGTGTATATCTGTTGGTACTTTATGATTAAATTATTTGAATAGATTGAATTTAGTATTGTGATAGTTTGAAACTAGCACTAAATCCAATAAAAATTGGTTATTTCAGTACAAATTGATTTAAAAGCATTGCTAAATAAGTAAAGTAGAAAATATGAACATTGACTGCAAAAGTATTGAATATATTAAATTCCAAATTTTTTGATAAACATATGTAATTACTAAATGAATTAAATTATAACTTCTAGAATCTGTTAATTAATAAAAGTTTTTGAAATAAAATAAATTTAAAAATTACAGTTTTAAACTTTTTTTAGTTAGACTAGTAATACAATATTTCGTATGAATAGATAATTTGGAGCTGAAATAATTATCGCTATCACATTGTGATTCGCTTTAAACTTGTCGTATTCTGCTGCTTATAAAGTTTGTTTTTCACAAAAAGTCTATACTTTTTAGCATTTTTAGTTTTTTAATGCGTTGCCTCAAACCGTAAAATTTATGATTGTATCAAAGTTGTATTATTCTCAATGAGCAAGCGAAATAAACATTTGAAATCTTTCAATGAAATGCATTGAATTGAGTAATTTGAAATCAAATAGTTTTCAAAGCTATCATCACTTAAAATTTTCAAGTTCATTTAATAATTGTTATTGGACTTTTGTTTCATATAAAAACTATTAAAAAGTAGAAATCAACACTTCAACTATCAGTTCTAATCAAAAATGCTAAGAAACTTCACATGCAATCAAGTCACTTTTATTTATTTATTTATATTTTATGTATAAAATTTATCTAATTACATCAGCTATCATTATTCCTGAAAGAATCGTTATTAAGAATATCCGTAATGCGTCTTTTATAAGTTGCTATGATAAATTATGAGTACTTCCATAATGAAAGGTGATACCTTCTCTATTTTATCAAATTCTATAAATTATTTGACTTACCTTAGCTTGTTCGATTTAAACGATTGCTTCATTCATTTTATTTATATCATAAAAATACAGTTATCATATTTTGACATATATATGTATTTCCTGTGTGAACTTTGAACATGTTTAAATTTAAATCACTGCTCAAAAAACAACTTCAATTACCACTTCATTACATGTATGCATAGTATTAAGATTTTATATTACAAAGCATTGCTAAAATAACTAAAACTTTTTCGCTTTACTTCTTATGGCCATCAAATTTTTCAGTTGCAAATGATGCTACTTATTTGTATGAATAACCAACCGATAAGAATCTGAATGCAATTTTTTAATTCTAAATTAATTGAATCTCGATTATGCTTAATCAAATGCATGATTTCTTTTTAATTTTTCGTGCTCATTCTCTGCTGCTTGTTGAAAATAGTTAGAAATATCATAAATACTTGGTTAGTTTATTGCAATAAAGCAAGTATTGTTAGCTCAGTTATTTACATGTTAAATTTTGTTTCTTTTTTGAATCTTTTTTTTGTTAAGTTTTTGTGTATTGTCTAATAAATTTAAGAGTTTACAGGATGTCATTTTACAAAGAAGTGGAAAATATATCGAATCTTAGTGATCAAGTACCTGCATTGAAATCGTACTTGCCAAATTCAATTATTTATATTATTCTCTACTTTTTGGCTATTCCACCAAATATTCTTTTGGCATATATGGGCCTCAAAAAAGGCTTAGTTTCAGCTCGGGTCAAGTATCCAACTTTAGGCATGACAATTGCTAATTTATATGGCTTATTTGGCTATTTACTGCTTAATTCAGTCTATTTAATTATGCTATTTGGTAATATTAAACTTAGTCTATTTGCATGTAGCTTTCTACGTACTGTAATTTACAATTCAACCTATGTGATTTACTTCTTATTTCCGGTATTAGCTATTGATCAATGGCTTTTGGTATGCCACAATTGTGACTTAAGTATCAAAACTTTAACACTGGTAATTTTGACCTGTTTCGTGATCCCAATGCTCATCGCAATTTATGATCTTTGCCTTCAGGATGTGCTTCTTTACGATTTTATGTTCGCTTACATACGAATGTCACCATATACTAATGTTGTATGTTTTATTCATGTATTTATTATTTTATGAGAATTCTAAAATTCTGTCTAATGTTTGTTTTGCTACTTATTAATTCTTTGTTTTTGTTAAATTTATTTCTTGTTTGAGGCAATATGAAAAATTCCACAAATAGTATATACTTGAATAACTTTAACTAAAGAATTATATATATATATA